CAGAGGCAGAGTACATGGCTATTACAGAGGCTGTGAAAGAGGCAATTTGGCTTCAAGGATTGCCAAAAGAGCTTGGTGTTGAACAAAAAGGTATCACAATTTTTTGTGATAGTCAGAGTGCTATTCAATTAGNCGTTATAGAGAGAAAATTGAAGATGTGGAATTTTGCCAAGGTGGAGATTTGTTAAGTTTGGCAGAAATTTTGTCCCACGTCGGTGGGAAAAGAAGAGTTGGGAGGATTTTCCCCCTATAAAATAAGGCTTAATGTTTAGGATTTAAACACACCTCTCATTTGCCTTCTTATCTTCTTAAGGTATTTGTATCTTCTCTCTTTAGTATTATTTCACTTGTATTTTTGGAGTGGAATAAAATATTGGTTGTGTCCGAGGAGTAGGCAAAATTAGCCGAACCTCGTAAATTCTGGTGTTCCCTTATTGTCTTATTTATTATTTGGTGGCTGTCATAATTTTTGGTATAGTAGTTGTGACTTATTCACACTATATACATTTGGCTTCCGCAACAGTATAGTGGTATCCTTTGGCTAATAATCGAAATGGCACATGTGTAACTTTTAATTTGAACCATTTTGCATCCTTTGGCAAATTATCTAAATGATTTTATAGGTTATTTCGAAGGGTAATTATGATGGTCAGACCTTAAAGTGTACATCTTTTAACATGAATACATCATAATATAGAGAGTATTCCCCTTAGAAGTGTGAGGTTTACAAAGTCTGCTGCCTCTTGGAGAAGCATGTAGGATCAAATTTATTGAAATTAGATAGGTTTCCTGGGAATTATTTGAATGGGAAGTCCTTGAGTTGGTGCTGGCATTGGGTCCCTGCTGAAGAAATCATCTGTACAGCATAACTTCCATGCGAAATGTGTTACTAGATAATGGATTGTGACCAAAGTTTCAATCTTCGCAAACTCGTATCCAGGACATATACGGGCTCCCCCTCCAAATGGAACAAAGTTGTAAGGAGGCAAGGATCCGGGGTTCTCAAAGCGTGCTGGATCAAATTTCTCTGGTTCTTGGAAAATGCTGCTGTCCAGGTGTGTTTTAGCCGTTACCCAGAATATCTATGTGCATCCAGTATGCAGTGGTTAACTTAGGATTATGCCAATCAGAAAAAAATAGAGTACTATCAAAATTAACAGGTTGAAGAATGGAAGATCAAAGATGGGGATTCTGATCTTACTTGCCATCCTTTAGGAATGAGGTAGCCTCCGTACTCAATGTCTTTTACAGTTTGCCTGAAGCCTCCAAAAATGGGAGGGAATATTCTCATCGTCTCCATTGCCACTCTCCAGGTATACTTCATCTTGCCAAGGTCTTCCCAAGTTAAGGACTCCTCAGGTGACTTACTCTGTGCAATCTCTTCTTGTTCTGTACTTCCACCAAGCTACTTTAGAAGAAACTCGAAAGGTAGAATGACTCACATGACATTCAGAGGGGTTCTTACCTTTAAGGACAGCTACATGAATGTTGGGATTCTTTGCTAAAAGTCTTACTATGAAAGTTATCAGGACGGATGAAGTGTCATGTCCAGCAACCATGATAAGCATGACATTGTGAATGATCTCATTTTCAGATATAAGTTGTTGGTTGTTCTCTCCGCGGATACTGAGCAAGCAGGTGATGAGGTCCTGGTGGGATGAAGCTAAGTTATTCTCAAACTCATACTGTTTCTCGCGAATAAGTTGTTTCAGCATTTTCTGGCCATCTTTGCTTGCCTTGAGGCTGCGGTTGAAGCGCGTAAAGGGCAAGTTTATGGGGATTGACCACATCCCTTCTATCATCCGCTGGAAATATTGAACCATTTGGTCTCTTCGCGCTCCACGTTCAAGCCCGAAAAGGAGAGAGCAAATAATGTCGAAGGTGAGTGTCTTCATTAGAGGCAATACCTACCATCAAATACCATACACGAAAATTAGTTGTAAATGTCTAAATTTGTATGCACAAATAGTACAGGTGTACTTGACAAACCTTAACTATTTGCTTGCCTTTCCAGTAAGTCTCAAGGTGGATTCTGACTTCTTCTTCCATCTTTCCAACATACCGCTTTAAACTATCTGGCTTCAAGAATGATAACAGAGCATCTCTAACCCGTTTATGATCTTCACCGTTGAGTTCAAATAGGCAACGTTCCCCCAGAATCATCTTGACTGATTGTGTCTGCTGGTTAGTGAGGACAGAGCCATCACTGGTAAATATAAACTTGTTAGCAGCCTGTCCATAAATAAACACAGTAGGTTTGCCGAAGAGGTTTAGCTTTGAGATAGGACCATATTTTTGAACTCTTTCCTCAAGCCATTTCTCTGCTGTGTTGGTTCTCATTGCCCTTAGCATGCCAAGGCTTTGGCCGATGATCGGTAATCCAAGGGATCCTGGTGGAACCCTTTTTGATGGCCTTCTCCTGTGAACCAAGAGGAGGAAGAATGGAAGAAGAAATAGGAAAATAGTTAAGATAATGTTCATGATTGAGGTATAAAGGAATGAGCTTAGAGGTAGGAGGATTTTATATGTTCTTGTGTTATTGACTTTGTTGGTTACTGGTAAGGTATCTTAGCTCCATACTGGTATCCTGATACAAAAATATGCCCCCATCTGGAGATACCAAGTTATACTCTCCTATATGATTGTGCATTGTGGTGTCTAACTCGAGCGACATGTCCAAAAGGAATAGTGTTCATAAACATTAACTGTTTGTGTTTTGTTTTCTATTAAAAACAAGCAGTCCAAATCAATAATGTGACAAAAATGGCGATGATCTTAAGTTGCGTGGCTGGAAGGATCTGCTTGTGCTCATTGCCTGTCGTTCTTATTAAATGAGGAATCTTTCCATTATGCAAACTACAACATCAACCTAGTACTCGTTCCACTGGTGGGGTATGGGGAGGGTAGAGTGTACGCAGACCTTACCCCTATACCGGAGGGGTAGAGAGGCCGTTTGCGGGAGACCCTCGGCTCAGAGACAAAAGATCTGTAACAACAACATAAATCAGACAAATAGTATCAGCATCGTAAGAGACAACAAATAAGTGGAAGGACAATAATTATGCTAAAAATAACATTGAGAAAAATAAAAATAGTGTGATGAACAAAAATCGCTAGCAATCTTAGACAAATCACTAGCAGACTAGCTAGAACAACGAGAAAAAACGCTAAACTACCCCCTAACCTATAACCCTAATGCTCGACCTCCACGCCTCCCTTTCCAGGGCCATTATGCAAACTACCATTTATATATTTCTACTCAATGGGAATCCACTTTCACCAAGCAAGCGAAAGCATTTCTGCTTGTTTTGAGCTATATTTAGCTAAACAGACTTCTTCTACATCATTTTTCTTCATATTTTGGTTTTCAAAAAAAATGTAATTTAAGTAGCGGTAGTCCCAGTTTCTCGTTCAATTTCGTAAAATAGACTTAACAACCAGAGGACTTCTATTCTGTTAGCAAGCTCTCCCCCATAAATGCAGTCAGACAAACGAACAAATACTGAGAAGATTTTGGTCTAATTTCACTCTGCATTTTGTTCTTCGTCATAATAAATAGCAACCACCTCTTGGTGAGTTGTTTGAGGGTTGTTTAGAAAGCCATCGCGTAATTGGTAATGCTTCAATCAATAAAAAAAGTCTTTGTCTTTTAAATTTAATATATTTCAGCTCTTTTTTAAAATTTTTGAGTAATTACAAGTTGACTTTTGAGAATTTGGGTATTATATGAAGGACTTATTCAACAAATTTTATTTTAATTTGAAAAGTCTCTGGGGCTTACGGCTCACTACAAAAATGCGCCTCAAACACCCTGACGTACACCCCGAATATCCGGGTATACGCCCCGAATTGCTGGGCATACGCCTCTTGAGACTTTCACCTCACACCATCGCCTTGGGACATTTTTGGTGCGCATCGCCCCAGGGCTCCCCCGAAAACGCCTTTTAAAACACTGATTGGAATTAGTGTAATTACTAGGATAGTAATTACACAGCCTAGTAATTACACAGTATTGTAATTACAACGACTTGTTTTGTTTGTCATAATATTATTACTGTGTAATTACAAGCGTACGATTTGGTTGCACAAGTGTAATTAATAGTTAGATTAAATTATAAATATAAATCTAATTATCAAAAACTAAAAGTTAAGATTTAACAAATATATGCCTTTATAAATAATATTATATTTGATATTTAAGATAGATATTGTGTTTTGAAAATATATTAATTACTAATCATATATTTGTAACTAATATTATAAAAATAATTGATATATATATATATATTTCAAATTAATAAGCTTTTACTTTAATCAATTATAAAAACTAAAAGTACATAATTTGTAAGAACATCATGGACTGCATGCTTGATAAAATGATTAGTATTGTGAGCACCCAATTATTGCTCTACATGAAAATAACTCCTAAAAATAGGCAAAAAATAATTTTAATTGATTTTTAGGAGTTTTTCTTTATTTAGTTGCATTTCATGCATTTTTTAATATTTTAAAATCATAAAAAATTATCACGTTTTAATTTCATGTCATCGTAGGCTCAGTTTGCATGTAGGAATTAATTTTATTAAGCAAAAAATCACAAAATGGTCATTTTTACATATTTAAATTTTAGCCTTTAAAATTAACATTTTCCTTAGTTTTAAGTTAATTAGTTGTTTTAATTTTTAAAATAAATAAAGAATTTTATTTTCTACAAAAATATATTGATTTAGGATTTTAATTGATTAAAAAAAGGGGGGAAAACAAAGAAAAGAAAAATAGGAAGAACATATTTTTGGTCTTGTTTCTTTTAAAATTGGGCCAATTCCTAAAGGCTCAAATTAATTTTAAACCCCAACCCAATTCCAATACCACTACCTAAATACCCATTACCCTTTACCCTACCTCCTACATATAAAAACACGTTAGAGCTAAAAGAAAAAACACACATCACATACTAGACCTAAAAAAAAAGCATATACGCTCCCCTCTCTGAACAAAAAAGAGGACGGCGGATCTGACCCCCCCCCCCTTCATCTTCTCCGATCAAATTTCTCTTCACACTCTCTCACTTCTCTGATTTTCCACACCATAACAGAAGCCGCCCCTTCAAATCGCACACAAACAGACCCCCCTTCTGTTCTCCTTCTTCTTCATTTTTCTAAAAAACACTCTATCATATACATCTGAAAAGAAAACAAATAAGCTCAAAAATCTGAGATCGAAAAAAGCTTTGAAAAGAAGAAGGAAAAGCAGTAGAATTCACAATGGATTTTACGCTAAAAATAATTTAAAAGTTGTAGTTGTTTCAATGCTACAGATTCCCTATATATTTTTTATATACAAAATACTTTCAAAATAGCACATGTATGCATATATAAGTATTTACAAATATTTTTATTATTTTTCCTTAATTTTAAAGGCTTTTAAAATTAATTTTATTACCTTATTTTATCAAGAAAACCCCAATAAGTTATTCCCAAAATTGACATTTGGTAATTCATTTATTGAATTCTTATATTTATACTAAAATATAGCTAAGGTAAATTTCGCACATTTTTTACAAATTTATTTAGTATTTTAAAGCTAAATTGCATATAATTGCAATATTAGCCTATTTTAGATTTAATTGAATTTGTAATTACAAAATTGATTCCAGTATTTTTAATTTAATATTTAGATATTATTAATTAATTTAGTACCTTTAATTTATTTCCAGAAATTATTTTACTATTTTTTATAAAATAAATAAGGAAAAAGTGGCTATTTAAATACTAGCCCTACTTATTTCAATTTTAGCTAAATTCTACCCCAATTAAACCCAATTGAACCCCAGTCCAATTCCTAAAATTACCCGCCCCTGATCCAATTAAAATAACCCACCTGGCCCCCCTTAAATCCGAGCCGTTGATCTAACAGATCAACGTCTCACGTTCTCCCTTTCCTTTTTAATTTACTAAACCCCCTAAACCTAAATCATTTTCCACCTACCAAGACGCCTCTGAACCCTCCCCCCATTCTCGCAAACTCTCTCGAACCTTCTCAAACCTTTGCCACCTCCCACCACTTCCACCTCGGAAACCACCAGAATCCATGGCTTCCAAGGCTACGGAAACCCTACCCCGGCCTCCTATGGCTCCCACGCGCCTGGTTTCTGAAGATTCAATGCCTGGCCATGAAGGGTTGTATCCAGACCTTTGTCGATTCGAAGTTTCATGGTCATCTCCGGCTTTGCTCCGGCGTACCATGGTTGTTTGAGCCTGATTCTAACCTCTCCAACTCAGATCAGTGACTTTTCAAACCCTTTCTCATTTCTAGGGTTCTTCTAAAACTCTAACCCTTCGAGGTTTTCTCCGATTCCTTTAGATCTGTTGTGTATCTATGCTTTCCCTGAGTTTTCAAATGATTTCTCTGGCTTTTCTTTAAAAAATTACTTTCAAAACCATTTCTTCTCCGATCTAGGGCTTTCTGAAAATATTTAAATGTTTCTCTGACTTCCTTTCTTTTTTCCTTTGTGTGTATTTGCGTCTACTGTGATCTTGTATTTTTCTTTTACCATGTTCTTGTATGCTTCTCTTACTGTGTTTTCTTATACTATGTTCTCGCATGCTTTTCTACTGTATTTTTTAGTTCTTAAGTCTCTTTATTAAGTTCTTTCTACTGAGCTCTGTTTAAGTTTCTTCTAAGAGATCTTCTTAAGCATGCTTCTTCTACTGTTCTTATCAGTCTTTTCTCATTATGCTTCGAATTAGTTTCTTCACTCTGTTTGCTTTGAACCCTTCTACTGTGTTTGCATGTTACTCACGAGTTCTGTTGCTGAAAGAGGCATGTTGGAAGTTTCAGTTCTTTTCTGAAACATCTAAACATGTTTTGATTCAATTGCTTACCCTCTCGTCTCTGCTTTGTGGTTTGCTTGAACTAGAGTTTATTTTAAAAAAAAAACCTTAATTCTTTCAGACTAACTTCGAGTCTCTGAACTGAGTTTGGACATCTTTGTTTTCATACAATCTGGCTTTTTACTAAACTCTTCTAAACTAGATTTTCCTACTGATTTTGCAATGGCACAACATCTTCTTTCAACTCAGCATGTTTGTATGCTCTTTATATGTGATGAACCCCCCCTCTAAAGGGGTTTTCAAATTTATGATTAGTTCAGACTTTCTTTTGAATAAGACTAATTGATTTTCCTTCCTTGTTTGCTGATTTTCCTCATGACTCGACTTAATTTCAAAACCCTTCTCAGCTTTTATGACTTGGTTCATTCATGGATCAGTAATTACAAGATCCCTGACCATTTGATTTACTGGCTACTGATTGATTTTCTTACCTTATTTGTACAACCGTGTACTTCAAAACCCTATCCTTAAAATAACCTTTTATGTATTTATCTCTAATTGCATGTTGTGCACAAAATGCTTACTCAATTTCTTTCCTTAAATGGTTCTTACCCGTTTGAATCTGAATCCCTTAATTAAGGGAAGTCTTGTGTAATTGATTCTTAATTGACAATCAGTTCCTCAACTATTTGCTTACCTTATTTATGCCTGATTTTGCACTATAAGAGGCACGACCCTCTTCATAGACAGAACACACTTTCAGAATCCT